TCAGAAAAAAATTCCATTCGATTTTAAAAAAAAAAAGAGAAAGAAAGAAAACTAAGAGAGAAAGAAAAGGGCGAAGCCCTTACCTCGGTTCAAGGTCATTCCAGTGGCTGCCGGAGTCGAAGAAACCGTAGGTTCCGTTGTAGATCTACGGAGTTTGAGCCGTTTTCAGGCCAAACGGATCTCCGATCCATGCTCAGGGCGAAAGGGTGCTTCGAATGATGCCTTCCTCTCTCCTCTCCGACGCCGGTGAACGGCGGTGGCCGCCGACGAGAGGCGGCCGGCACGGTGAAGACTCCACCGGTTTCTGGATCTCATCTCTCTCAGTCTCTCTCTTACTCTCTCTCTTCTCTAGGGGAAAATGAAACAGATGACCGGTTTTGGGAGTTATTTGGGCTATTTATAGCTTTTGCAAAACGGCGTCGTTTTGAGGGGACGAGTTCTGTAATTTCACGCATGGGGTAACTACACTTTAGGTCCCTTCTCCTTTGTAATGCTTTATTTAAGTCATTTAATGAAATTATTATTGTTTTATTTCGAGCCTTTTAGTTTTTAATGATTGCATTTCAGTCATTAATTTGTATATTATGTTTACTGATATTATAATTTGGTTGTAATATTTATATTTATTTCGTTTTAGTCACTGTTTCAGTTTATTGTGCATTTTCCTTTGATATTCGGATTTGGTCATGAAATTTGCAAATGTTATATATTAGTCACTGTTCATATTTTATATCATATTTGTCTATATTTGATTCTGGATTTAATATTTTCAAATATTTCAATTTAATCACTGATCCCATGCATTTTATTATCTTTACTGTTATTTGAATTTGGTCACCATATTCGTATATATTCTATTTTAGTCATTTGTTTGATGTTTGGTTTAATTACTTTGTGATCTTTTATGTTTCTGTTTATTTCATTTTAGTCCTTACTCTTTTATATTACTACTTTCGTGAATGTTGGAATCTGATCTCGTATTGTGTAATTATTTTATTTTAATCACTGAATATAACTTTATTTTTTTTTTTTAATTTTTGGCTTCAAGTTCTAATTGCTTTTATTTTAGTCATTTTCTGTTTTTTAATATATTTGGTTTAATGTCTATTTTATTTTCTTTTGTTTTGGGCATCTATGTTTCCTTGTTTATATTTTAGTCCTACTAATGTATATTATGTCATTTTTGTGGATACTTGACTTTGGTCCCAATGTTTGTAATAGTTTCATTTTAGTCATTGATTTATATGTTAGGTATTTTTGTTAATGTTCGAATTTATCCCTGACATTTGTGAATATTTTATTTTATTCATTTATGTATGATTTTATTGTACTTGTTATTCGATTATTTGTATTATGTAAATAATGTTTTTTAGTAATGTGAATATTTTATTTTTGTATTTCCAATTACATTTATTTTCATTATATTTTTATCTATGTATGAAATATTCGATTATATTTTCAAGAACACGTATGCGTAGAATGGGCGTGGAAAGTACCACTTGGTCGAAGTGGTACGATCCGATACGGCATTTTAACGACATAGGAACTTGCAACAAGTCGAGTATATTTTACTGATTAATTTATTTTAATAATGCAATGTGTGTTTTTTAATTCAGTATTTATTTCATTTTTATTTGGATGCAAACGTTAATTTCATTTATATTCGATTGGCATATTTATCAATGAGGGAATATTCTTTCATTAACTAGAAATAGTCGAGTTAGCTTTCCTGATGGAGGATTACTAATTTCGATATTTCTTTTCGAGTTAAAGAATTTTCTGTAATTAATTTATTCGAAGCAAATTGATTAAATTTCAATAAAAGGATCACATCTTAATTTTATATTCGATTTGTAATTTCCACCATTTTACGACAACATGTAAGCGACACAGTACCAGTTTTTGGGCGTTGTGGGGTGCTAATCCTTCCCCACGCGTAACCGACTCCCGAACCCATCAAATCGAACATTTGGTAAACGCAGACCATTTTTGTCTTTAAAAATGATTTTTTTTAAATTGTTTTAAAAGACGTTTTTAGGTATTCGACCTACCTAACCTAAAGGTCGATGGCGACTCTATTCAATTTATTCCAAATTAATTCCAAATTCCCCAATTTTTCCAAATTAAAGTCATAATCGTTTTTTAAAATAATATTTAATTGTTCCACCTAAAAATGGTTATGACACAATGTTTATAGGGATCACCAGTTGCTTTCTTCTACCTTAAATCTTCGTGTAGTAGAATGCAATTTTTTATTCTGTTTGTTACTCTGGCTTTTTAATAATAAACTTCAACTCGACTAGATTCGATTACGAGTAACTCGTTAATTTTTTATATAATTTTTTAATAATTACTTTGAAAAATTATTTCATTCAAAAAAATTTACTAATATACTAATAGATAATAAAAAATTATAAATTGATAATCTATTAATTTTCTAATAAACAAAAAAAGATTTAAATTATTGATTAATATTTTATTATATCCAAAAATCAAACCGTGTTTATTATTAATGCATTTGTGGATTGTTACTTTAGAATTTAGACTTGAAATTGCTTCATACAATTTTTTTTTTGATAATTTTTTATTAAATTTACCAATTTATGTTTATATTAAGCTCTATATAGTATTAATAGATTTTACCTATACTTAAGAAAATAAGGTAAAATTTTCGACGAGCTTAACGAGCTACGAGGTGAGTAACAAGCTTAACGAGCAACAAATTTTTTCATCTAGCACAAGTTGAACAACAATTTTTTTTTTAACGAGCACGAGTCAAATCGATAAACAGTGCCCAAATTCGATTGAACAAAAATTCTAGTCCAGTCTAATCTATAACCATCCTTAAGTTCGAATCTTTTTATTGTAAATGATAATATGCTTGAGCATTACCTTGATGCTTCCATAGTGTCAAATGGACTCTCTAGGGCATTTTCTACTGGAGCATGGTCCCATCATTACAAAAAAAGTGGAGAGGATTTCAGGTGTAGTGGCAAATCTTGGACGAGCAAATCCATTGCAGACAATGGTTGATTTGAGGAAAACACGTCAACAAGTTTCATACACAAGAATAATTCTACGAAATTTAATTTGTTTCTGTTCTGTAGTTTCTTGTTGTTCTCGTCTTTTCTCGTAATGATTCGTATCTTGCAGGTGGAAATTAAAAGAGACGAGCCTAAAGGAGAGTTGCACATCTTTACTGACGCTGGCAGGATTATGCGGCCTCTTTTAGTTGTCGAGAATCTATTCAAACTAAAAGCATTTAAGGGGAAGGAAATTACACCTTCCAGTCCCTATTAGACAAGGGGATAGTTGAGCTTATTGCAACTGAAGAAGGGGAGGATTGTCGTACATCATGGAGTATCAAGTACCTCTTAACAGAGGTTGAGGGGAAGCGGCCTGTTAAGTATACGCATTGCGAGCTCGACATGTCGTTTCTTTTGGGTTTAAGCTGCGGGATCTTTCCGTTTGCAAATCATGATCATGCAAGAAGAGTTCTCTACCAGGCACAAAAACATTCTCAACAGGCCATTGGGTTTTCTACAACAAACCCGAACATCAGGGTGGACACTTTGTCGCACCAAATGTATCATCCCCAAAGGCCACTTTTTCACACAATGACGGCTGATTGTCTTGGGAAATCAGGATATCCTCTGGGTAAGAAAAGAATGCAACCAATGCCAGAATTGTACAATGGCCAGAATGCTATTGTAGCAGTCAATGTTCATCTCGGTTTCAGCCAAGAGGATTCCTTTGTAATGAACCGAGCCTCTATAGAGCGTGGGATGTTCCGCACCGAACATGTAAGAAGTTACGAGGCAGAAGTTGATAACAAGGAAAATCAGGAGAAGAAGCGGAAGCCTGAAGATGTCATAAATTTTGGGAAAATAGAAAGTTAGGTTGGACGCGTGGACAACCTTGATGATGATGGTCTTCCCTATATCGGTGCAAGCCTGCAGTCTGGTGACAATTGTCATTGGGAGGTCTGCAGAATCTGGTGCTGATTACGGTGTAAAGCTGAAGCACACTGAAAGAGGCATGGTTCAGAAAGTTGTGTTATCTTCAAATGATGAGGAGAGAAATTTTGCTGTTGTGTCTCTCAGACAGGTAATATTGATCTTCACAGAAACAGAATGTCCGAGTTCATGGACGCATTACTTGGTTGTGTGAATGGAAGAAACGTGGTAATGTTAGTATATTTGTTCTGCAAGATAGCACCTATTGCTTTTAATCAGTTGCATTTCTTATAAAATTTTCAGGTTCGTTCACCATTTCTCGGAGACAAGTTCTCGAGCATGCATGGGCAAAAGGGTGTGCCTGGCTTTCTGGAGTCCCAGGAGAACTTTCCTTTCACGACTCAGGGAATAGTTCCCGACATCGTAATTAATCCGCATGCATTTCCTTCGAGACAAACTCCAGGTCAACTTTGGAAGCTGCTCTGGAAAGGGGATTGCCGTGGTGGATCAAAGAAATATCCTTGAAGCTTGGTTTTCTGTGGACATATTCGAGTTGTTCCCGTCGTCAATTATGATGGCTGTCTCATCTACTTTGGTGAGTATCTGTCACGGGGCAGGATTTTCAAGATGGGTGGTCGAACAGGTGAGATGGTTCGTTCACTCATATTTATGGGACCAATATTCTACCAGCGTCTTATCCACATGGCTGAAGACAAAGTAAAATTTCGCTACACTGGACCTGTGCACCCGCTCACGAGGAAGCCAGTTGCTGACCGGAAACGTTTTGGTGGGATCAAATTTGGTGAGATGGAACGTGACTGCCTCATTGCTCATGGTGCATCGGCCAACTTGAACGAGCGGCTCTTCACGCTTAGTGATTCCTCACAGATGCATGTTTGTCAGAGTTGCAAAAACGTCGCAAACGTTATCGAACGGACTGCAGCTGCTGGCCGAAAGATTAGGGGACCGTATTGCCGGGTTTGCCAGTCCGCAGACGACGTTATCAGGGTTAGTGTTCCTTATGGTGCCAAGTTATTGTCCCAGGAATTCTTCAGCATGGGGATTAGTCTAAAATTCGAAACTCAACTTTGTTATATCATATGGATTTGTTCATCCTTTTGCTGCTAAACTTTATGGATGGTTTTTAACTTAATGTTCTTAGCAACTAACCCCATCAACTAGAACAAGTATGACCATCACTCAACTCCTCAACCGGAACTGCATACGGCGAATTCCAATCTGCATCGAAGATATCTCGAAGCTGAGAAACGATGGCCGGATTATACGTCCCGAAACTAACACCGGCCGTCGTATAGAAATAATCCCATATGAGATTGCTGGTGCCAATGTGAGCACGTACGTCGCTGACCGCATACTTACCATGGTTGACTCTGGTGAAAGCCGGATATTTCCGGTCGGCTTACCGTCTCGAACGGCCGGTCCGGTCGAATTGTAACCCGGCACCTTGTAATACTTGATCTGGACTTTACCCGAACACTTGTTGAACGTTGACGAAGAGCAAAGGACATTGGAGTAAAGAAGTGACTTCAAGTAGAGATCAGTGTTGTTTATAAAATGTGACCAGTAGGCTACAAGTATCTTCACTTTAGCATGCTTGGAGAACACAATCTGCCATTGTTGAAAACATCATAAGAAGCTGAAAGTACTTGTGTTTTTAAGTAGGAAAAATGGTGTCGGAATGTACCTCGGAGATGGCGGTCGAAAGAGATGACCAATAAACTGTTTGATTCATGTATTGGGATTGACCAAGCCAGTCCATTGTACTGATCCTTACGGTCCCTCCGTCTCCAACCGATTTAATCGTGTCGAGCCATCCTTGTTCATCGGGCTGGAACCTGCCGAACGACAACTCTGGTGGAGCGAAAGACAGATAGCTCGATTGAGGCACCAGACTTCTATAATCATATCCGGGAGCATCGATGATCAACTTCAATATTTTAGGGTCCGACAACGTCGGATACCCTGCGACATACGGAATCTCCACGAAACGAGGAAGTTGCAGCCTGAGATTAATAAACAACATGTAAAGGTATTAACAATCAAAGCACTGCAAGTTCCGAAAACAAGACCATTATAACATACGTGCATCTCAAGTCGGATTCAATGAAATGTGACCAGCAGGGGACTTTTCTCTGAATCTGCCATTGTTGGTCCGAGATCGTCGTCGTGTAAATCGATTCATCGAGATGTGCAAGCCTCCATAGATTCTGAAAGTAGACACCGACCTTCCTCGCTACTTTCGGACAACCGACAAGATAAATCCCAACTTCCTTCACCTGTGACCATAACCAGGACATGTTATTGCAGGGTTCAACCATAATCAGGACATCCTGAACTCGAACCATATGATCCATCGTGTACCTGAGTAAGAGATTTCCAGTCGTTGTTCGCGGATCCGATATATAAGTCTCGATTATCCGAGACCCAAACTTTGGCATGGACAATGCCTGAACCCCACCATTTTTCAAGTAATAAAGTCACACTCTGAACATTTGGTCTCCCTGAAGCAAGGCTGGAGGGCTCTTTGGTGTAGTCTGGATACACTCCGGAGTGCTGTAGTAACCTAAGCAAAAGAAGTAACTTATTTCTCAAGGAATCAAATCATTTACATGTATCTATTAGGAAACAAAATTTGATTCGAAAAATGACTCGACTCAACTAAGAAAAATTAAATTAAGTTTGAATGATAAAATATAACTCGTTAATTCAATTAACTTGAATCAACTCGACTAACTCGAATACTTATCTCCAATTTCAGGGACGAAGTCAAAATAAAATATTTTAATGGGCAAGGTACCTAAGTTCAAAATAATAAAGACTTGTTATGTATTTAATCTAAAAATTAGAGGAAAACAAAAGTCTAATTTAATTTAATTTAAATTGATAAGGACCTAAAATACAATTAAAATAAAAATTTTAAAAGCGCTCTATAAATCTGTCCTGCCCAATTCTACCCGATTTAAATTTTATTAATTCGACACAATTTTTTTAAAATAAAATCTAGGGTAAAGTAGCATTTAATACTTAACCTATTAATTTTAATTTATTTTAATATTTTAAATATATTGACATCTCAATTTTTTTTAAATTAATTTAAATTTCAAAAATTCGATTCGTCTCGAATCTTCGTTGGACTCGATCGTATACTCAATTCTATATTATCTATTGATTTTGCAGATGAAAGATAACCTGATATCGACGTCTCGATCGGCGGCGTTCTCGAGGGCAGTATAAACATCAAAACCTTGATCGGCGCCGAACCGGCGCATATCGGCATTTGAGTATCCATAATCACCCGAACGAGAATCCTCCGGATTCGCTTTCAATTGCCAGTACTGAGCAATTATGTCCAGATTCTCCGTTGAGTTGTAAGCCAACCACTTGAACACATCGCCTATAAACCCAGAAACCAAAACCAAAATTCAGATTTCAGTTTCAATCTGTGGCTCGAAGAATTGAAGCAGAAGAGAAGACGAGTTCAATTACCTGTAGAAAGAACACCGGGAACTCGACGGAGATCCGGCATATCCGTCGGGATTGATTGGACCAACCAAGCTTTACAGCGTGACTCGGTGAAACGCGGCTTAGTCAAGTTGACCATCAAAAATAACCAACACGATGCGAAGATGCTGTACCTAATCACCATTATCTGGGATCTCTTCCTTTTTCCTGGGTCTTTTTCCTTTACTGGTTGAATTTTGAACTGTTTGATTAGAATCTTAAGGCCGGTTATGGAAAAGTCAAGGGAAATATGAAGGAATCGTTCTTAATTATCTTTAGAGATTCTTTAATTATCTTTAGAGATTCTTTCTCCCGATCCAAACAGAATCCCGAGAGAAAATAATATAAATAATGAAAATCTATTTAATCATTTCTCAAGCTTGTAAATGAAACGTGGCTCGTTCGTGAACGTTTTATTATATGTTCGTTTATGTTCGTTCATTTATGTTTATTCATTTATGTTCATTTATGTTCGAACAGAGGACATATTTCGATTATATGTTCGTTCATTTATGTTCATTTATGTTCGAACAGATGACAAGTTGAATATGTTACGAAGATTATTGAAGTTACTTGTATTTCAAGAAGATTGTTTTGTTTAACAAATTAACTTTAAGACTTTATTATGTTCATATAGCTTATTTATGATTTATGTATGTTTTTGTCGTATTCGAACAAATTAACTCTAAAGTTGCAGATTATATTAATGAATTTTAAGTTATTATTCTTGTTGTTTATTCTTTTTTTTACATTCATTTGTTGTGTTTGAATAAGTTTGTTTTTTGTGTTCGTTTATGTTAGTTTATCGTGTTCTTTTATATTCATTTATTATGTTCGTTTTTGTTCGTTTACGTTCGTTTATGTTCGTCTATTATTTAAATGAACGAACATGAACAAACTATATTCCTTAATGAACGAACATGAACAAAAAAAAATTTAGTCGTTTATGTTCGTGACGAACATGAACATATCTCCATTCGTGTGCGTACTCATTCACATGCAACTTGATTTTTATTGTACTGGCTTGGGTGGATTAAAATGAAAAACTTGAAGAACACAACACAACCAAAACTGAAGCCAGGAAGAGACATTAACAAAAGCTTAGATTTTGCATGCAAATTTGTTGTCTTCAAAGAGAAGCATATATATATATATATATATATGTATATATATATGTATATATATGTATATATATATGTATATATGTCAATTTTGGGGAAATTTCCATGGATATTCTCACAAGAACAAAAGTTTCGTGGATATGGGTTTTTGATTTATTTAAAAATAAATGGGAATGGTATTCATATCCGTTGTAAAGGATTATTCTCTATTTTGAATCATTCAAGTGTTTAACGTTACTATTTTAAATGTCTAAAACATAACGACCATTAAAAAATTTCGTTAGGTGACACATGTCACTAATTGACGATCCAACGACACAACCACCCGAAGAACTCCTAATTGACGATTTAAACCCGATGAAAATAATATCAAGATCGTAAAGTTGAAGCTACTCGACGACTCCGACAGCAACTACGGTGGCATGGGCAAGGACGACTGATAATGGAGACAACAAGGACGACATCGTCGACGACGGTTGTAGCCAGCAGCGGAGGTTAGAGTTACATCAGTTCCAGGTTCTTGCCAATCCTTGTCTAGGAAATAGAATATCTCCTCTGTCTCGAAGAATAAACCATCGACTTGGAAATTCTTCGAATATTCTTCGAGATCGAGACGGCAGTAGCTGCATGCCAGTCTTACTGCTTTTGCTGTTCTTCTTGACCAACTTACCTTTCTTCGGGACTCCATCATTTAACTTCACTCGACTCATCTCTTCCTTGAGGTAGCGACAATCTTCGGCCGTGATCTTGGAAACGGAAGTACTACGATGATGATCGGAGTTACGTGGCTGAGCTCCGGCTGCAGCTCTGACTTGCTCGAAGAAGAGCACTTGAACTACGACTCGTAAAGGAAGTCTCTCGTTCTGTGCAGCATGCATAGATGCATCCATTGTGAGTTTCTTGACATCCATCAGCCCACACATTTTCTTTCTTTCAGCCTTGGTCAAGTTCGGATGCTCCTGCAAGCAAAATAAACCCGGTTTTACGCCGTCTGAATGACTTCATCGGAAAGGTTTCCGTTTCACATTATATAATAGTGACAGGCATTATGAAAAACCAGCAATGCATACCTTCAGGTAGATGTCAATGGCTTTATAGAGTCCATCATGAACTGGCCTAGCTAACTCAGAGATAGACCGAGACAAGTCGATGAAACTAGCTATGGAAAGGTTCGGGTCGTATGCGATTTTTTGAAGATAACCATCAATCAGTTTTCCGACGCACATCAAGGATCCATGCCCTAGAACCATCTCATTCTTTTCAAGCTCTACATCTCGACTATGTCTCTCATGTATCATATACTGGTTCATATAACGTAGTTTGGGGCGACCGGGCCGGGATAAATAAATCCTTGACAGAAGCCTCATGCAACTTTAAACTTATCCTCTTCACTAAATCGTCCTTTGCCGAATCATCCATCCCTGCCAGAACAGCAACTTTCAACAGCTTCAGCAAGAAACTACATGAACAACCCACACCATTATCCGAAGGCAATAAGAAGGCAATTGTTTCCACTAGTAACTTGTTCCTCAAGGAATGTGCATCGGAAACCAAGGCATCGACAGAATCCGGCAACCATCTGACAGCATAAGTCTTCAACGCCTCACCAATGACTGCACCATCCAATCTTCCCTTTGATTTCACAGCAGTCATGATTCGCTTGTAGAGATCAATCTCTAATTCGCATAAATCTTCAACCCACCAATCCTTCGGGACGGATTCGATCTTCTCTCGAAGTTTCATACCGTCATTGACTATTTTGTCCTGCACTGATAACTTCCGGTTATATGTGTAGGACCATGTGATGTTTGCCGGATCCACAAACGTTTTAGATGCGACGGAATCAATGCATCGTCCAACTATATTCAAGTTTTCAGACCACGGTAGAAGAGACTTGGCGGTTTTCAGAACAATAATCGAATCTTTCCAACTATGGAATATGCTAGAGTTGAGAAAGAGTTCAATTTTAAAAATTAGATTACCTCGATCAACATCCTCGGTCATCTCTAGATATTCGGCAGCACAACGAGCAGCCGCGACATTGTAAGCATTCAATGTAACAGTCATCCCATAACAGAATTTTGCACAAATTTCAAATGTGCTCGCCCCGCCAGGAAAATCAACCAAACTAATTTCGTCGCAGTTCTCTTCAGTGCTTTCAGCACTAGTTTTTGCATGCGGTTGCTCTTCGACAATAAAGGAAACTGCACGACACATAAAAAGTACAATTAAGCATCCCTGCACTGCAGCTCCAGAGACAAAGCATTATAGAACTTATCCATACACAGATGCTAAAAGACTCAGAACCTTGTGAAGAAGAAGCATGAAGATCGAAAGGGGATCGAGCATACCTTGTGAAGGTAAAATTTCAGCTCACCGACCTTAACTGTGACATCGGTTTCCAAATCAGACGTGACATGCCTGCATCAACGGATATTTTCTGTTTAGGCATACATACACAATATCTTGCCTTGATGAGGAAGACAACAACCTTGAAAGAATAAAAAAGAACAAAACAAGAGCCAATTTCGACTCATTGGCTCTACTGAAAGAACCAATGTTATTAATCACATGTCAAGTTACATTTGAGCACCGAAACAGTCTAAGCAATGTGTATGATCAACGGAAGAAAACCGATAAGTTCATCGATTTCGATTCCCATATTAGAACTCTCAAGTCTCTTTTCATTTTCCCAGTTCTAATTAATCATTGTCATCTGAAAAGTTGATATCTAAATGCAAATATATTCGGTTTCGCAACTGTTAATACACAGATTTTGAAGGTAAACCACTAATCAAGATGGAAAAAAGCATTTACAGGGGTCTTACAAGACCTGCTAGTTCCAATCAACAAATTGACACACCCAAGGCACTAAACCAGATCCCTCCTGCATACTCTTGTCCTTAGCAACACAATGATGAACTGATTCAATTATGAGAAGTTGCTATCAAGGGGAAGATACTTTTAAGGACATGTTATGGGGGTAAATCCAAGCTTGGTCCTCTTTGGGAGAATGACATTACTTAAGAATTTGGGACATTCCCACCATTTTTAACCGAAAATCGCTACTGTTGGTAATAAGTTTTATACCGCTCGAGGGAAATGAAGACACGTGAATACAATTCCGAAAGGATTATTCCTCTAATAATGATTTTTTCCACGAACCAAACCGAACAGCCCTTAAGGACATGTTAGGGGGTAAAGTCCAAGCTTGGTCCTCGTTGGGAGATGGGAACATGCAACTGTTTACAGGAAAAAAGAATTCTTACAACGATTAAAGGTCTGCTCACAATATGCCTTTTTTTTTTCTCAAAATTTGGAGACTTTGGACCACTAATGAAAAAGATGACAGGTTCAATAGCTGGACCACTTTCCAAAAACAAAAACCAAACAATAAAAAAGAATAGAAAGCAGTAATGAAAACACCATGTGGTTAATCTGTCACCAAGCCAAAAGGAAATCAATAGGAAGAGGAAAAATTAGTAAACTACTTGCTAATAAAGTACCCCATGGTATATGACAATGATTAACCAAGCCCCTTTCGATGAAGCAAAGATAAATTTCTATGAAGCAACAGCTGATATTGCTAGAGCTAATGGATATGAACAAAATCAAAACGAAGATTACAGTAAGCTATGGAACAACCATGAACAAAATTTGCAGTGCTCTGTTGAAGAAGAAAAGAATGCAAGTGAAACCCAGTTTACCTGATGCATTTGCCATCTACTTTGAAGGTATCGGGCTTCCAGCCGAGCTTCATAAACTTCATGTTTATCTCTTTTGCCGAAAGTAACTTGAAAGAGAAGAAACAACAGGGAAAAGAAAACCCTTCAAACAATCACAACAAACTCAGCTAAATTCTTCAAAGAAGAAAGCATGCAAGTCCTCATCCCATTTCCCAGTTCAATTGATCTTTTATTTTTTTAAAAATCAAATTAGCTAACTATTTAAGGGTTGTAAATCAAGCTACTGGCCGTTAATATTTAATGGAGAAGATAGTGTGATTGTTTAAAATTGATATAATTATACATTTAAACCTCAATATTTACACATTTTTTTAATTTAGTCTTCATTTTAATTTAATTAAATAACTTTAATATCCAATTAAATGGTGGCATGTAACACTACATGATTGAAGGATATATTTTAATTTTAATTTATTTAATCCAATTTAAACAAGTATTTTGGTCAGTATGTCAAGTTATTTATCTATGTTCACTCATATTCCATTAGGTTATGGGTTCTAGGCGTACTAGGAGAACATTTTTCCTTCCCCTAGAGTTTCCTTTCCCCTCTTAGGGGTATTCAAAAGGTTAATTCGACTACCGATCGAACCGAATTTTCATTAACCGAATTAATTGAATTTCTTTTTTTCCTTAATCGTTAATCGAACCGAATTTTTTTAAATATTAATCGAATTGAATAAAGTTCTGTTATTTCAATAGATTAACTGAATTAATCGAATTTTTTAAATTAAATTAATTTGAATATAATAGAAGTATTTTTTATTTGGGCTAAAACTAATAGCTTGAAATATGTATTTAATATATAAATATATAATATTTAATAATTTCGATTAATTCAATTAATTAACCGATTTCGAACCCAATTAACCATTAACCGAATATTGAGAAAATATTAATCCCGAACGAATTAATTCGGTGACCGACCGAATTAACCGAACTAATTCAATCACTTAATTCGATTAAAATCAGAAAATGAACACCCCTTTAGGATTTGTCAAAAAAATTCCAAGTTATTTTCTCTTTAATAATGTTGTGACATGTGTCACAATATTATTAAAAGAAAAATCTAACTTTTTTTCTTAGTTTATTTAATTTACCTTTCCTATTAAGTTTATGTTGATGAAATTTAAATTATGTAACACTTATATAATTTCATTTTTTCAAAAGGATTTTTTTATTTTTTTATTTAAACTTTTAACTTTATATTTCATTTCATTTAATTATCTAATTATAACTCTATACAAATTTTTAATCTTTAATCTTTATAAAATAACACGAACCGAGCGACTTCAGTGATAATGAAATTGTTGTTATTTCTTGAGGTCTCGGGTTCAATCACTAGGAATACCAGAGTGTAAACGTTCAATATCAAATGATTGATTTCTTTTAACATTATACTTATTTCAGATTAATGTAAAAATCTCTATAAAACAATAATAAGGACCAACTTTGAAATATCCTTAATCTTTTGGGTATCGGAATTCAGTTGAAGGTTACGCTGAGTTCGATAAATTTTCAAAATATGAATGTCAAAATATTTTAGGGGATGACAATTTTTTGTGTCTTCCATAGCCGGTAGTTCTTCCCTACGACAACTTAGTTTAAGGTTAAGGAACAGAATGAAATGAGCGTGATCGAAAATATTATAAAAAGCATAACATTTTCGGTTGGGCGCAACCTAAAATGTTAAGTTTTTAACATTTTCGGTTGAACCGAAAATATTATGCAGAATGTAACATTTTCGTTTGTCAACCGAATATGTTATAAGAAAGGATTTCAACCAAAAAATGTTCAGAAAAAATTAACATTTTAGTTTTCATCCAATCGAAAATTGTTATAAAAATTATAACATTTTCGGTCGTGTCTTTCCTCAACCTTAAATTAGATTGTCTTTCCTTAGACTCTCCCGAACATATGACATTATATATATATATTTTATGTTATATCAAATTATTAAAAGGGAATTAAAAAGAGATATTTTACTTCATTTTATTCTTTTCCATAGCTTTGTTGATGAAATTTTGAGAATGGACAGAAATTGAAGCTTTAAGCATCATTTTATTAAAAATTCCACAACGTTCAATGAGCATCGATGAGCACTACTAACGATAAACATCATTAATTTAATTTATAAAAATTTAAATTTTTAAAAGACTCAATGTATAATTATAAATTAGTTAAAAATTTAAAGATAAATTATTTAAAATAAAGGGTAAATTATACTTGTCGTAACGTCTTTTTTGACGAACGAATAGATTTTCAATGAAAACCTCAAATTTATGACTTACTTGGGAAAAATTCAATTTTTGTATTTATTTTAGTCATCATTTGTCACCCATTTTGTCTCGAGACTCTCATTGATTGATCGCCTCCTTGTCATCTTAATAACGACGGTTAAAGACGAATGATCGATTTATCATAAATCCATAATATATGTAGTTAAATCGTTAGTTTTGAAACATTAGTGGATAAAAGAAAATTTTACTCAAACATTAGTGACTCATTGACGTAGTTTACCCTTTGTTTATTTGTGCGGGCATGGGCTTCTGATCATCGTGTATCTGTTTTTTGAGTAAACTACGATAATGGTGACTGATGTTTGGGTAAGTATTCTTTTTCACCACTGATGTTTTAAAACTCATAAATCAGTCACTAACGTTATACTTTCTTACAAAAGGAAAAAAGAAGAGAATTTTTCTTTTGGGTCTTCTGGTTTTTCAGATTCTCTTGCATTTCCTCTTTACCTACGAATACGGTAGCAGCAGACATGGTGATTTCTCTTCCCTTCTCCAATTGAACTAATACTGCTTGTAAAAATCTCTTCTTTTTTTCTTTTTAATTTCATGTTCTTTCCTCTGGAAACTAGGGTTTCGTCGAATGCTTAATTTTCGATACTGAACTAAGGGGCACAGTCCTTTATGACACCCTTTGTGGAAATTATTTGTTAGATTAACAATTTAACGTGGTCGGTTGTGTATTTTTAATTTCCTCTTTTTTGTTTTGTATGCTAAATTTAGTCGGACAGGCACACCATTATCTTGATGCAAACTTCACAGAGCAGGGCAACGAGGACATTTATGGATTATGATTCCATAAGTCAAGCTATGTATGGTATGCTTTGTTTATTCTTTGTCTATATCGTGTTGATTTTCGATGTTTTTCGTCGTTGATTATAGATCTGCAGAGTGCAGGCAGTGGATTGTACCTTTTAGAAGTTGGTTTATGGGGTTTAGAATGATCTTTAGATTTGATTTTGCATTTCATGCATCCTTCTTCTCTAGAATAGAATGTATTTCCAAAGATTATTTTATTTCCTAATTGCGTTAGGAGCATGATTTGGTTGAATGAATCAGAGTGGTTCCGACACGAGTCACCGGATTGAATCTACTGTCTTCTTAAGTTTTGACGGTTTATGCCGTTTGGGATGTGCAGGGATATGTGGACTATATGAAAGGAAGCTTAAGGATCTAAATCCAGCTACAGGGAACATCACTTACGACGATGCTGATCTTTACAATTTTATCAATGGCCTTGCAGATATGAGTGCCCTCGTGTATGTCTCTCCTTTCTATACTGCCCTCCACTTTTTCCCTTCTTTTTCAATGGATCATTCTCATGTGTTTTATGTTATATTGCATGCTTCGTTGTCGTGTGTCCATCTAATAATCATTTATCAAATGTATGAATCTGTCGTGTAATTTTCCGTCTGCTGAAACTCAAATACGTTGTGAATAGTTTTGACCTGTAAGTTTATATATATGGAGGATCATATGATTCATAACTCGATACCCATTCCCAAATATGTCCTAGACACTGGTGTTAAACATGGAAACTTAAGATAAAATGAAGAGTCTGGGTAACATTGTCTTTCATCCAAGGAAACGAATATGGCTGATGGGAAGTCTGTGTATTACTTGGATACGGACAATGCTCCAACGATAATGCAGTAATGGGCGTGTGTTCACATTAACGGGAGACAACGTCTTGCAATGGATTATTTGTTTGTTTTGGTTTGAATTGGATATTTGAATAGGTGTCAATTGGAAGCTAAACAGTTTAACCTAATATTTATTGCATTCGACGTATTTTTTCTTCGGTGGGATAATCGGTTTTATCATTGATTTCTTGCTTGCAGCTATGATCACAGGATTCAAGCTTTTCTGCCTTATGACAGGCAATGGATTAAACAGAAACTATTTCAACACCTTAAGAAGTTGGCACATTAACTAAATCCTTTCTCACTAAAACTGGTTTTCAATAGAAAGAGAATGTGCATCTGCAGAAAACCTCGTATCTGATAATCGTGTTCTTATTATACCTCCTAACGTGTTGCGCACGTCTTTTCGACAACCGTTGCAGCTTTCTCCGGAGTTTCAGATGAATAGCACAGGTTTTGCGTGGTCAATGTTGTACTCTAATCAAAGTTGATGTTATTTTTGTCTAGGAAGCTTGACCTTTACCATAATCAAAGTTGTTGGTTTTTGTCTAAGAAGCTTTTCTTGGTACTTGATTTTCTTTTGTCTACATTAATCCTTAAGTTTAACATTTTTTACCAACTTGGTACTTGAACTTGAATTCAGTTAAGGACTAAAATATAAGAGAATCAAAATTTGCACACTTCAAACAAAACATGGAAGGCTTAATAAAATGAGATTAGTTAGTTAAACAAGATAAAGAAACAATGAGTTAAACAGTGCACCAGAGGTATGTCATTTAGGCTGATGCTGCATGCGAGCAATTGGGAAGATTAATCGGAGCTATCTGACATGCTCGTTCTCTTGATTCACCTGTGTTTTTTTTTTCCCATAAGGAAAGAACATGAACATGCAAGTTAAACGTATATCGATACAGTGACGGATATCGAAATATATTTAGGAGTGTGTACATATATGTTAATAACAGGTTCGTTCTAAACAAGTGTGGCTTGTGACACGTCATAGAGTTCCAAATTTCGGGGGCCTTACACTTTGAATAAAAACCATTAACCCAAAAAATAAACTATTTTTCCTATTGTAACGCAGGCGTGAAGAAAACTCAGTAAAGAAATCAGCCACACTTTGAAAAAGTTCTACCAACTCAAAATTTGATTTATTTTTTGTTTCGTAAGAAATAATTTTTATATGATAAATTTTAATATTTTGCAATTTCATCTTGTTATAAAATATTATAGAATGCTCATTTTAAAAACAAGCATAAAATGTATACATCTTCTGGGATAGGTATGGTTAACAATATAAAATTTTTAATTGGATAGACATAAATAAAATTTTACGGTGAACACTATAAGTAAAATAGGTAACTAATGGAGAGTGAACACGTGTCCACACTGAAAAAAAAACTGTGAATCCGCCATTGTTACATTACAAAAAGATGAAAAAGAAAAGAAAGAGAAGACTGATCATTTTCTTTCATTACGGGGCGAGAAGACGAGGAAAGACACGAGAACAACGATGAGGGAATACGAGCCCTTCATGTTTCGCGCTTGGTAACGGCTATATTTCTTGAATGCATTTACGCTTCAACATTTATGAACTTTTTATAGGTAAATATCAATATTAGAGTTTAGGATTTATGGTTTAAGATTTAAACGTCGTATCGGATCTAGTGCATGACATTTTTTTTGTACATATGGTGTTAGGGTTTGCAAACATTTATAAACATCCAAAAATAGGTTGGTGCACCACGCTCCTGCCCTTAATTGCACGCGATTCTTAAGGGTTATAATGGGCGGCCCAAACCCGAATTTCTTTGGATTTTATAGTGATTGTTAATATTGATGTCAAGTATAAGATTATAATGATTATTCGGAGGTTGACAAGAAGAATGAATATGGTTAGGGATGGCAAAAAAAATTGAACCCGACGGAGAAAATTGAAAACCGAATTAAACGGGGACGGGGAAAAAATGTTTATGTTAAACGGGGACGGGGACGGGTTTAGTAATCTCCGCCCGATTACCCGGCCCGATAAATATTAAAAATAATTATTTATATATATATAATATTAATAAATTTAATTTAAATTAAAAATATATATTTAATATTTATATATTTAATTTAAATATATATACTCGGCCCGATACCCGTTTAAATAACAGTTTATGCTAAACGGGAATACTCGTTTCCCCGCGGTTTTCCCCGATTACCCGATGGAGATCCTCGTTTAAATCCCCACGATTTTTTAAGCGGGAACGGGTACGGGTTTTTTAAACGGGGACGGGGGGACCAATACTCAGCCCGAACCCGACCCGTTGCCATCTCTAGATATGATCGTCTGATAGTATATTTGGCTCGTACAGTTCATGTGGATTTATCAAATGTCATGTCAAAGGGTTGTGAGTCATCAAAAAATTTGGATTTATGAAATTCTTTTTTTTTGGAAGGAATAAAATCTTATATTCCAATAGATCATCAATAACAACTTGTTTAATACAATCAGGTTCATCTAAATAAAACCAAACTGGATTGTTGTTCGATAAGGCCCAATGCGCAAGAGTATGGGCGACTCGATTAGCTTCCCTACAAGCATAGTGTACTTTAAAAGAAGGAAAGTTAACTAACATTTGTCTAGTCCCATTGAGCAACAATCCAATTGTAGAAATATCTTGAATCTTTCTCGTCACCTGATTAGACAACCTGTAAACAATGGACATGGCATCACCTTCAATAACAACTTTGTTCCACCCATTCTCGGAAGCCAACCGAATGCCCTCCGTAAAAGCAACAACTTCCGTTGACTCGGCCGAAAACGAAGGATCAATCTTCTTAGCCAAACCCCCCAATAACCATTTCATACGAATCCCTAGCCACGGCATTTGTCTTTCGGAATCATTGGTAGATAAAGGAGTGACAATGAAAACACGACTTACGAATTAGATACGAATGAGGTAAAATATTTATCTTTCAGAAACTTCAGTAGGCTTCAGTGGTTAATCAAGATAAGGTACAACACATGTCCTCCTTAGTCAAGAGGCATAGTTAGGGATGGACTGAAGGAGGGTTGGCGGGGACGATTGTCCCTCTTGAAAATTTCAATTTCTCATATAATTTGATTATTTTCTTTATATTTTTTACTGATAATATATTTCCGTCCTCTAAAATTTTATAAATTTACTCCTATCATAAAATTTACATTCTTCCCACGACATAATATTTTTACGAATGTAGAACCGCCTATAATCGTCGTAACGTACATTTTAATATCAATAAATATATGGAAATACTCAAATATGACTAATATTTAATAAGGAAAAGTTTAAATAAAGGAAAAAAATTAATCGTATAAGACATTTTCCCTCACAGACAAATATAATCTTTTTAAAAATATAGATCAAGTTCAATTTGGTTCATAAACATCAAAACTTTCTAATTTTATTCTTAACTAATGTATAATTTTAAGGGTAAAGTACACAAATAGTCCCTATAAGATATTTTTTTTATTAAGTCTCTTGACTATTTGAAGTTATAAAATGGTCATGCGACTATAGAATGTTGCAATGTTAAATTCTCGACTATTAGAAGTTACAAAATGATCATCCGGCTATTCATTATGTTCCAAGCTCGTCCTTTTCATAAAAATAAATGACAGTTGTCTAAATTATACGTTAACATGATGATTGGGATATGATAGTCATTTGAGATTTTGGGATCAAATTTTTATAATATCACGACCAATAGGATAATGTTCAGCTTAGAATACCATCAATTTTTTTAATCAAAAAATGATGAGTTAAGAATATAATGAACAATTGGGTGACCATTTTTGTAACTTTTAATAGTCGAGGGACTCAACAAAGCAACACTTTACAGTCGAATGATCATTTTATAACTTTTAATAGTCGAGGGACTTAATAAAGTAGTATCCTATAGTAGGGGGACCGTTTATGTACTTTATGTTAATTTTAATTAGGTCATTTAATCAATTTAAATTGTTATCTTAAATCTGACGTGATTCTTTCTAGATTTAAGAGTCACTATTGCCCTTGTAGTAAATCTATCTTATGAATTTCGTCCCTATCGTTTTTTACATCAATTTATCCCTTGAGGTTGTTAGGGTGTTCATCCTATCCCTAGAAGTCCATTAACCATCTTGACTAACAGAATTGTGAGTCTTATGCAGATTACTAGTAATATTAGTTTATGTGGAAATTGCTAGTGTTGAAAAACGCAAAGACAAACGGTTTTGTTAGTAAAAAACAGTTAATGAACTTCGAGAACCAAGATGAACACCCTAAACAACTTCGTAAACTAAATTGATGTAAAAAAAATGATAAAGACGAATTTAATAAATTATATTTACTACAAAGATAAAAGTAATCCTAGCCCATTTTTTTAAACACATATAAATTAATAAATATTTTTAAATATATCTAAACAAATATTTAACGTTAAAGTTTACAGCTAGTCAGCTAGATTACTAGAAATATCTTATTGACACAATAATTTATTTTTAAATTTAATTCGACTAATTTAAGCTTATAGCTAGGGAAAGACATGGGTCGGGTTTTTGGTCCACTCGACCCGAGAACAAGGAGCCTCCATCCGAGATTCGACCTGACCCGACCAAAACAAGAGTTCATCCGTCCCGACCTGAACCCGACCAGACTTGACCCGAAATAATAATAAAAATATTATTTTTATTCAATAAAAACAATGACTTAATTGAAAAATTTATATATAGAGGATATTATTATAATTATTTTTAGGGTAAAGTATAGTAATGGTCACTGAACATTTCTGAAGCTTGCATTTAGGTCCCCCAACATTTAAAACTTGCAATACAGTCCCCCAACATTTATTCCGTTTGTAATATGGTCCCCCAACTTAAACCACAGTTAGAAAATTAGGATAAATTATATAAATGGTCATTGAACTTTTCAGTCACTTGAATTTAGGTCCCCCAACTTTTAAAACTTGCAAAACAATCATCAATTTCATTCTAAACCCCAATTTCCAAGTAATTCAATTTTATTCTAAACCCTAAATTCCAAAATACTTAAATTAAATTCAATTATGTCAAATTTATTATTATTTAATTTCATCTTATTTCATGTGATACATATTTTTTATATAAATATAATAGTATAATTCTTATCTGTTGAAGAAATTTTTTAATTAAAAAAAGTAGTTAGGATATAGAAGAGGTTGAAAATAATTCGAATTTTAAATTTATAAAATGTTATTTTGACGTATAAATAAAAGTGTAAACTACTCGGTTGACAACTTAACTATCTAGCCCTTTTTACTTTTGTCATCGATCTTTTAAATTTATCAATCATACCACATAATTATTTAACTGTTTCACTAAGCCACTAGTCGTTACCAATTGATAAAAATGATGATGTGGCAGTTAAAAGGAATTGGTATTATTATACATTCAGTCTTTATTATTTATATAATCAATTTGGTCCTAAATTAAATAAAATTTAATAAATTAATCATTTAATTAGGATCTGACATGTGTTAGTACATGATCATGACACGTGTCATTGGTGACACATGTTACCACCTAATTATTTATATATGCTATCAATTTGGTCCTAAATTAAATAAAATTTAATAAATTAATCATTTAATCAGGATCTGACATGTGTTAACACATGATCATGATATGTGTTATTGGTGACACATGTCACCTCCTAATTAGAAGAAAATTAAGTTACAAAGAAGTAAAATTTGGGTCTTGGGCAAACTCAAACCTGAGTCACGCAAATGAAAGATACAGGATGGAGCCACTAAGCTAACACCATCGTTTGTGTTAAGAGATATACAATAATACATATACTAATAGTATGATCAATGCCAGAAAAAAAAGAATATAATGTAAAATGGAAATAATGAGATTTGAACTTCGGCAAAAAATTTGAAAGCAATAAATGATGGGAAATATTATATTTTTACAATAAAAAAATATTATATTTGATAAATTGTTTGATAGATTTAATATATTTTTAAATATTAGTTGATACAATATTTTAAAAGAATAAATTTAAGATTTATATATTTTTAAACTAAATTTAATAATATATTTTTCATATTTATAATTCATGATTATATATATAATCTTAAGTTGAGTATTTCTAATATAATTAATAATTTTAATTTCTTATTAAAAATAAAATATTCAAAAAATATAAATGATTCATACATTAATATATGAATATATTTTTTATTTATACATCTAAATATAAATATACATTTATATAAATATATTTTTATTCGTTGTGTCTATGCCTTGAACTCTTTCTTCAAGCCTATATTACCTTAAATTGAAGTATTTTAGAATTTAATTGAAGTATTTTAGAATTTAGGGTTTAGAATAAAATTGAATTACTTTGGAAATTGGGGTTTAGAATGAAATTGATGACTGTTTTGCAAGTTTTAAAAGTTGAGAGACCTAAATTCAAGTGACTGAAAAGTTCAATGACCGTTTATATAATTTATCCTAATTTTCTAACTGTGGTTTAAGTTGGGGACCATATTGTAAACGGAATAAATGTTAGGGGACTGTATTGCAAGTTTTAAATGTTGGGGGACCTAAATGCAAGCTTCAGAAATGTTCAGTGACCATTACTATACTTTACCCTTAAATTAAAGAGCAAGTGCATAAATTCCGGCGTCGGGTCGCCGCGTAAACCAGACAGTTCAGCTGCTTAAAGATTTGATACCAATTAGAGGAAAACACGTGTATCTTCTTTCATGGAACTTTGATGTAATGTAATCAATTGGGATTTCGTGTATCTTCTTCTTTCGGTTTGTTATCACCGCCGCTCTCGGCCTTCTCCGATCCTCCTCCGCCGCCGTTGAGGTCGCCAAAAGAGGGAGCTTTAGTGGATACCGGGGTGGCCAAGAACGTAGGCCTTTCATCACCAGCCATTATCACTAAAATGTTCTCCTCGAACACCTTCATCTTCTTCTTCTTCGAACCACCGTCGTTTCCACCGCTTTCGTCGTCTCTTCCTCCGTCTCCTCCTCCGCCGGCGTTGAGCAAACGATCAGTGAGTCGGCGGCAGTAGAAGAAAGCTAAGATCAACATTCAACAGCGCGAAACCGACGAGACCCAGCATCGAAGCCAAACCTCCGAAGAGATACGGCACGGGAGAGTGCCATGTCGAGCACGCTTGCGCCACGGCTGTGCTGTTGGCGGCGACGGTGGCCATTTTGTGCTTGTTTCTTCTTCTTCTATGTTGCGGTAAATGAGAAGGTGGTGGGTTGTTTTTATATCAGAGTGAGTGCTCGCTATTATTTATAAGTAGGGAAAGTAATGGGAAAATTAGGGTTTGTTCTTTTTATCTTTTACTCGGTAACCACGGATTTATCTTCCATATATGGTGATTAATCATGATGCAGAAGTAACCTCGAAACACCGTGGTTCGTTTAAGGATGTACACGGTTCGGGTTTAGGTGAATCTGACTTGACTCGGAAATTTGATACGATTTGAGTTTAGGGGTGACATCACCCGACTTGACCTGACCCGATTTTTTTAGATAATTCTCGAATCCGACTAACCCTACCCAAAATAAATTGTTTTCTTATTTTTTAACCTTTTAGTTTTAGTCACCAATCTTTCAATTAATCAGATTATTTAACTGTTTAATTCGATCCAATCAAGCTACTTGTCGTTAATGTTTGACGGGAGTGGTGACATGGCAGTTAATAAAATTTCTATAATTATACATTTAGTCACTAATACTTACATATTCTAACAATTTGAACTTAATTTTAAAATAAAATTGATATAATTATACATTTAATCATTGATTAATATTTTTAATTTAATAATTTACTTTTCACCAATAAGAAAGTGACATGAAAAGAAAATTAAAGCACCGAAAGAAGGGATAAGGGGATTCCAACTGGGAACACTTTTCCAAGGAAACATAGGCAAAACCATTGAGCCAAAGTTGATAATTTGCTCTCAGGTTTCCAACTTACGATATATATGTTATATTTTAATATATATAAATATTGTTGAAAACATTTTTGTGTTTCGATATAACATATTAAGTTTAAATAAATTTTAAGATTTTACAAATGACTTTCTAAGTATATTCGATTTAATTAATCGAATATCAAAATATTACTCCAAGTCTTTCAAGATCAATTTCAAACCTTATTGAATGTGTAAAATTATGTTTTATACTTAATATATATTTGAAACAATTTTCACAAAGTATTTTGAACCAAAATAAAGCATAAAATCAATTTTTCAAAGTGATGCACCGATGCACACACCATGCATCGATGCACTGAGGATTTTATGAAAACATCGAATGCATTTGATGCATCGATGCACCAGCCATGCATCGATGCACTCTGGTTATTTTGAAACATCGAATGCACTTGATGCATCGATGCACTCTTAGTGCACCGATGCACTGAGGGTCCAACGGTCAAACTATTTGAATTTTACACTGATGCACCGATGCACCATGGGTATGCATCGATGCACTGACGCTCCCGACTGCTTTAATTAATTGTTTTCACACTTAAACGACTCGATTGACTCCACTAAGCATCCCCAACGTTCAGAATCATTTGAAGGTGTATTTAAACAAGCTTAGAAGCCATTGATCAATAACAAGAAACAACAATCAACAAGAATCAAGAGAGAATCAAAGAGAAAGCATCAAACCTCAAGTTTGAGCATTTCAAGATTATTTTTCATTCAATATTCATTTTGCTTTCAAGAACACTACTTGTACTCAACTGTATTCATTTTTTAGTGTTCTTTTCTTTGTTTTAGAATTGTGCAAACAATCTTCCTTGTGAGGATTTCCTTGTAAGTTTGCAAATTTGTAATCTTCTCTTTGAGAAGGAGTGTTCTCAAGAATTGGAGTATATTCTTGAGGGAGTTGTTAAGTTATCCCTTTGGCCTCAAAAGAAAGAACAAATTCGTGAATTTGTTGGAAAATCCTTAGTGTGGATAGCTAAGGTAGTGGACATAGACTTTGATTGAGAAAGTCGAACCACTCTAAATCCCTGTGTAATTACTTTCAATTTTCTGCAAAAGCTTCCACCAAAATTTTAATTGCCAATTCACCCCCTCTTGGCCGATTCCGTTGATCGATTAACTCAACAATTGATATCAGAGCCTCACTCATTTGAAGGTTTAATCACCTCTTGAGTCGATTCGGGAAGAGTTATATCGATTATCAAGTCATCAATGGTCTCTACTTCAAATGTCGACTTCGGTCTCGATTCGATGCTTGTCAACAAGCCTCCTTTCTTCAATGGAGCTAACTATGCCTATTGAAAGAATAGAATGATGTATTTCATTCAAGCAAGTGACATTGGAGCATGGAATGTTGTAGAAGATGGATATATCAAGCCTCTCACTCATCTGAGATTGTGGAGTGAATGAGAGACAAGAATGTTCCAGCTCAACTCCAAAGTAATCCATATCATATTTTGTGCTCTTGGACCAGATGAATATGGAAGAGTTTCATCTTGTACAACCGCCAAAGAAATATGGGATAAACTACAAGTCACTCATGAAGGCAACAACGAGGTAAAATAATCTAAAATTAGTCTTCTAACACATAGCTATGAAAATTTCAGGATGAAACCAAATGAAGATATCAAAGCTATGATGGATAGATTCTCAACGATTATCAGTGGTCTCAAATCATATGGAGAGATCATTCCAAACGAAAAGCTTGTGAGGAAGTTAGTTTACTCACTTCCAAAATCGTGACAATCCAAGAAGACGGCAATCATCGAGGCTAAGAACCAAAAATCCTTAACTCTTGAAGAGCTAATTGGTTCCCTCCTCACTCATGAAATGACGCTTGAAGATGAGGTGGATGTCGATAAGATTGATGAGACACCAAATGAGAATGAGAAGAAGAAAAACATTGGAGTTGTTCTCAAATCCACAAAAGATGAGAGTGATTCAGATGAAGATGACCCTATTATTTGCTATGAATGCAAAAAGCCGGGACATGTCAAATATGATTGCCCACAATTGAAAAGAAAGGGTCAATCAAATAATAAGCACAAGGCTCATGTGGCTACATGGAGCGATGAAGAGGGTTCCGATGAAGAGGAACAATAAGTAGCAAACTTGTGCTTGATGGTATTCGGGGAAGATTCTAAGGTAACCTCTAACTCATCTGAATTAGATGATTTATCTTATGATGAGTTATTAGCAGAATATAATGAGTTGGCTTCGGATTATGAGAAATTGTTTTTAAAATATAAAAATGATGTCTCAAAATTGAAAATTGAAAAATAAGCTCATATTCAAGACCAACAATGATTTTGAAAGTAAAATCAAAGATTTGCAAATCAAACTAGAAGAGTTTGAAAAGAAAAATTCAGATTTGCAAAATTTACTTTCAAATGTCAATGATGATCATTAAAAGAAAATTGATGGTCTTAAAGCTTCTTTTGATAAAGTTGGAACAAAACGTTTTGAAAATGGAGAAAATTTAAAATCCAACTTTGTTAGAAAAAGTTTTAAAAACTACAATCATAGAGGTCCCCGAAGAACCTCTAATGGAAAAATCGTTAGAAGTATATGGGTTACTAAAGGACTCATTACTACTAAAGATAAAGATATCATACACAAATGGATACCTAAGGGGACTAGGATTTTGGAAACTAATGAATATGGACCCAAAAGAATTTGGGTACCAAAAATTAGAAATTAATCTATGTTTGTAGGAAAAGGAGCATTGCTACAAGGCATGGGAAACAAATTCAAACTCATGGTACCTTGATAGTAGATTCTCAAGACACATGACCGAAGACAAAAGCCGGTTCATAGAGCTTAACGCCAAAAATGGAGGAGAAGTGACTTTTGGTGATAATTCAAAAGGTCACATCGAAGGTATAGGTACCATAGGTAATACCTCTTCCATACAAATTAAAAATGTTTTATATGTGAATGGATTAAAGCATAATCTCTTAAGTATTAGTCAATTATGTGATAAAGGATTCAATGTCATGTTTGAAACTAATGGTTGTAAAGTTATTGACATTGCATCTAATCGAATTATACTTGTTGGTCATACAATAGGAAACATATACATGGTGCATTTAGACTCTATTGATATGACTAATTTATGCCTAGTTGCTAAGGATGAGCATGATAGTTAGTTATGGCATAGGAGACTAGGACATGCTAGTATGAGTGTTTTGCAATGGCTAATTCAAGGAAATTTAGTTCGAGGGTTGCCTAAGCTTAAATTTGATAATGATAAAATCTGTGATGCTTGTGCTAAATGAAAACGAAAGCGAATTTCTTTTAAATCCATTAATAATGTATCAACTAGTAAAATATTACAATTGATCCATATAGATCTTTTTGGGCCAACTAGGACTACTAGATTGGGTGGAAAACAATATACATTTGTCTTAGTAGATAACTATTCTAGATATACTTGGGTTCTTTTCTTAAGTACTAAAGATGAAGCATTAGAAAAATTCATCACGTTTTCAAAAGTAATCCAAAACGAAAAAGGTTACTCTATAACTAGTGTTAGGAGTAATCATGGAACTGAATTTGAAAATCTTGGATTTACTGATTTTTTTAATTCTAATAGTATTAGCCATAATTTTTCATCACCTAGAACCCCTCAACAAAATAGAGTTATTGAGAGGAAAAATCAAACTTTAGAAGAAATGGCTAGAACTATGCTTTGTGAAAACAATTTGCCAAAATATTTTTGGGCAGAAGCCACAAATACCGCTTGTTATGTTGTAAATCGAGTAATGATTAAGCCAATCTTAAAGAAAATTCCATATGAAATTTTCAAAAATAAAAAGCCTAACATTAGCTATTTTCATCCTTTTGGATGTAAATGTTTTGTTTTAAACAACGGTAAAGACAATCTTGGCAAATTTGATGCTAAGAGTGATGAAGGAATTTTTCTGGGTTATTCCTTAAATTCTAAAGCTTATCGAGTATTTAATAAAAGAACTTTAGCTGTAGAAGAGTCTATACATGTTGTTTTCGATGATAATCCCCTTCCGAGGAAGGATTCTTGTTTGTATGATGATGTAGGTATTATAAATATAAATGACGTTGAACATGACGTTGGAGAACCATCATCAAAGGAATAAACGAAAGATGAGGAAACTCAAGATCCTCTCGAGAATCCAACCATTAAAGAAATGGAAGTATCTTACCCAAGAGAGTACAACTATGTCAAGGATGGTGAGATTATAGGTGATCCATCCAAAGGGGTAACAACTCGATCTTCTCT